CTGTCTGGCTGGCTGGCTGGCTGCCTGGCTGTCTGTCTGTCTGTCTGTCTGTCTGTCTGTCTGTCTCTCTGTCTCTCTGTCGGTCTCTCTGTCTCTCTCTCTCTCTCTCTCTCTTTCCCCCTTTTCACTCTCTCTGCCTCGCTCTCGCCCCCGCCCTCGCTCTCTCTATCTCTATATCAATATATGTATACCTACGTACATACATGCATACATACATACATGTATGTATGTTTGTATGAATGTATGAATGCATGAATGCATGCATGTACTTCTGCGCATGTGTGTATACATGTACCTATGTATGCACGTATGTATGCATGCATGCATGCATTCATGTAAGTACATAAGTAGGTGTGTATATGTTTGTATGTGTGTATGGGTATATGATGCATGCATTCATGTACGCATGTATGCATGTGTGCATGTCTGTCTGTCCGTCCGTCCGTCGGTCGGTCTGTCTGTCTCTCTGTCTGTATGTATGTATGCATGTATGTAGGTATGCAGGCATGTATGCATGTTTGCAGGCATGTATGCATGTTTGCATGTGTGTATGCATGTTTGCATGTGTGTATGCATCGCTGCAAGGATGTATGTATGAATGCATGTATGGTTGCATGCATGCATCTAATGCATGCATGCACGAACACGACAGGCCCTTCTCTACCAAAAAGGACTACATAAAGTTCTTTTGCTTCCGGATAAACCGTGTTATTCACGTAATAAGAGAGGAGATCTCTTGTTTCTGCAAAAGTCTTCTGTCATCAGACAAAGCATAAAGATCCTTCATCCATTATCAGGGTCAGAGTGCGTATTGGTCTCTTGAGGTTTTGGCACAAAAGCGAGTTCCCTCCAGTATATCCAACATACCTTCGCCAGTCTTGAGCAAGCTTTGAAATACCCTAGCCCCAGCATCCTAAACCGTTAACGCCACCCAGGCTCCGAGCCCGATCTCTGGGACCTTTGGCCATCTCCAGGCCGAGCGGCAGCTGGAGGCGTACCTGGCCCGGCAGTTGGACCACGTGGGACCCTCGGAACATGTAGGGCCTCGTGTTTGGGGTTTTGGGTTTGGGATCTAGGATTGAGGGTTCAGGGCCTCCTTTAACAGGCGGCATGAGCATATGACATGACACTATACACGAGCAAGCAACAACACAAGTAAATTCGCACAGAGATCTGACTTGTATATGCCCTAAACCCGAAACCCGAATATAACACACAAAACAACGAACATCAAGTGAAGGAATCCCGACTTTTCATCGTGATGTGTACTCTGTCGCAGGGTTCTCGGATGTCCAGCAAGGAATTCGCTTAGCATGTTTCCCTCTACGGGTGGTTTGCCTGGCTTTACGAGCGAAATTTACGGTATCTCGCATCCGGACGAAAGCCGGCGCTGTTCTGAAATAAACGGAACAATTCGCCTGACTAAGTTTCGAAGATCGGACACTGAGTCAGAGAGAAGATGCAGTTCCAACAACCAGGAGGTGGCTTGTGAGAATAGGTTTCTGGCACGTATGGGAGTCGTGCATGCCGGAAGCACCTCAAGTCACGAAGCCTGAGCCCTAAAGTGTGCAAGTCACCGACAAGCTTAGACCAAATCCGACCGACGCAAAATCCCAAATTCTGTTCTACCATCCTTCGAGCTCAGCTGAAGTCCCCATGCATTCCGTCGCTTCATGCTCTGGGATTTGGTGCCCGAAGGTTACGGATGGGCTGGAGTTTCGAAGTAAGAAGCTGGCTTGGTGGCTCGCTGCCCTATAACTTCTCGGACAGCAGCTGTTCAACCAGAACTCCTGAACCTCTCAGCCTCAGCTCCATCCTTGATAGCAGTCCTGCATACCCTACTGGCCGTGGCAAGGCTTGATGACAACATGTACATGATCGAAGTATTTTGGAAGGTTTGAGCTATTGCTACGCCAAGGTCATCGTTCACACAGACTACCCACGGACCCAGTACGAATCTCAGTTAAACGGCGAGGACGGTGAACACTTGGAACGTGGTTTACAGAGTATCGGGCTTCAAGGGTGGACTTCTGGGGTGTTAAAGACTTCGCAAGGTGTCTTCGTGGCTCAAGGCCGTCGATTCCGCGTTTCCTGTTCGAGGATGGTGTTGGCGTTTTGGGGTTGGGGCCGGGTTTAAGTTTACCGACATGACACTTTAGGATTTCGGGAACCGAGAAGGAGGCTCGGAGCTGTCGGCTCTGAGTCCAAGAGTGCCGGGCCTTTCCATTTGTGTCATTTGGAGTCCTTCAGGGTTAGCTGTTTGTTTTTGTGTCCAAGAGGCCGCTGTGTTTTGGACTTAGGCCGCTAAGCTTCAGAGGCAGCTGCGTCACAACCCGCGATGCCTCAAGCCAATCCTTGCAGCCTAAATCCAACATCTGCGACCCTCTCAGTGACCAAACTCTGGAATGGTGCCTTGGAGTTATCGCTACGGCTGAACCCCAATTATGAAGCAGCCTGCACTATAAAACTACGGAGCCGTACCTTAAAATCCCTACAACCCTGAAGCCAAAGCTCGAGGATATCTGTGGTTGTGCAAATTGCTTGCTCTGATGGCGCCACGGCCGCGGCAGCTGCGCCCTCTGCTTGTTGGGGGAGGATTCGTTGGATTTTAAAGGATGGTTAACTGTTCACAGGCTCGAAGTACAAGCACTCTCGATAAGAACGGGGCTGCACCCCTGCATGTCTTGTCCCGTCTTACTGCTCTCGACAAATTGCATGACGAATTCTTTCCACAAATCATCCCAAACCCCGAAACCTTAGAATTCGCTGGCCCGCAGAAAGAGCCGAACCGCGAAAACTTCGAGAGCCTCGACAACGAGCTTAAGAGGGCACATCTTCAAAGCATGAGGTTCTGTACGGTAGGGTTCCTTATGAATAGAGTCCCCTGTTTCTTGCATGGTATGTGAATACACCTATCTTGATGCAAGCTTTCTGTGGGAATGACTCGCACCCAACAGCAGTATTTATAAGCCCTAAACCCAATGCCCCTATACCACCAGAACGTAGTTAAATCCGAGCCCCGTAAATATACCTGAGCCTGCAACTGTCGTGATCAATCCCGTGCTAGGCTGGAAATGCTGCTTTCCTGGCCTTACTAGATGCAGGCGCCGGGATACTGGGGAGGTTGTGGGCTGAGCGTTCGCGGGACGACGCTGCCGTGGACGGGGACCGCGCTGAGGGGAGCAGTGCGGTGGACCTCGGTGGCAGTGGTGCAGTGGCGCAGCATAGTTATGCAAAAAGAGCACCTTTGCGAATTCCTCTTCCGGGCTACTTCTACAGGCACATGACATCTCTGCTGATGTGAGCAATACAACAGTATCTCGAGAGCGCCTTTCTAGATTGTCCCTAATGACCCTAATGCCTAAAGAACGGTTTGGTTTCTGGGTTCTCGGCTCCCGGCTTGACCATGCTTTGGTGCGTGCGTGGGTGTGTGGGTGTGGGCGGGAGGGGTGAAGGCCCCAAGCATCTGCTTTCCGGTCCTGCCATGAGCAGTCTTGGCAGGGTTTCGAGTGTACCGGCGTAGCGTTTTCTGAAGGAGTTCGGGTGTTGGCCATTGTGCTTCGAAGTTCCACTGGTCCGACTGGTCCTGCGTCGGAACAGTTTTGTTGGGAAACATCTGGTTCAACGAGGCTAAGAGCGGAAAGTCTTTGCGGATGTGGCGTTGCCCTAAGCACGGGCATTTGCAGACCTCTGCTAGAGAGTGGCCGCCGGCCATGTTCGAACTGGCCCTTACTTTAAATTTGTGGGTCCCTATCGTGTTAACCGCCGATTGTATGCGCAGAGCTCCGCGGCCCACATGGTTCAAGCTTCTTATTGAGACATTTGTGGAGCCAGGGAATTCCAGTGTAAACCTCTCTGGCAGTGAGAATGTGGTTAGCTTGTTCTGGTGGCACGGATCTAGGGTGAAATCTGGATGGAGGTTGGAAGTGAAGGCGAGCGAAATGGTGTAGCGTGCATTTACTCTTGGCGTATGTGATGGGTTTTTTGGGCTGCAAACGATTCGCGCCTGGACTAGCATGAACTTCTGTCGTGCCGCTGCTCGGATGGTTTAGTATGTGCGAGCTTGCAGTGTATGGGTGCTGTAGCAACCTCACGACTTTCCAGCCTCCATAGCACAAGCAATCATGTCATTCGACTCTCTGTTTCACCCAGAACCAAAATAAGACCCTAAATCCACAACGCTCAGCATATCCAAATCTCAGGTTGCTTGCGCATCATGGCTTCTGCTTGCCCTTCTGTTTTGGCCCATGAGCTGGATGGGGTCCATCTTGAGGCAAATTCGACTGGGCGCTCTGCCAGAGCACTAGACTTACAGCAACAAACTACCGATAATGGTACTAGTTCATAAAGACAAAAATTAGGTTCTTAACCTTTAGTATAATAGTGAATATAGCGATTATCGAGAATAGGGTCAACATTCAAGGTTTCTGCTTGTAAGGTTTGAGTTTTGACGCTGCAGGGTGACTAGTGGTAAGTGTTGCGGCACCCATGATGGGTTGCAGGCCGTCTTTTTTGGAGAAACGCCTATAGCATGGGCCTAGAGTAAGTCCAAGGTAGTTTGGACGGAAGATACAGGCTGATGCCTCCGTCAACCAGGGGGGGAATGGGCAGTACGTAGTAGTGGGACTCTTTGGGCGTCTCCAATCCCCAACCATGAAAATTCTATCCGTGTTAACAGCTGGGCGGTCGATATACCGAGGCGATTTGCGAAATGTTCCAGCCGCTGACAACCTGCGAAGGCGTACCACCAGCCCAACCGGGCATAACGTTGCATGCTTGATCACTGACAGAGCCCGTGCAGGCGAGGTCGGCAGAATGAGAAATGTGACTGCCCAAGCTGATCTCTTTGTCTGCGCCGATCCGGAAGATCGTGGTACGTTGAGACTTGCAAACTTTTCCAACCTGGTGTCCTATGGAACATCGGATGAGGATGGCGGCTACCGGTCAGATCTGAAAGGAGTTGATAGCACACTGGCAAAATGGTGGCGTTTGCAACAGTGTTGGAAGCGCGTACAAGACTTCGAGGAACACCACGAGTTCAGATATAGCTTCTACATGAAAACACAAACCGGCTGTGCATTATACCATGCGTGCTATCCGTGCTTGGGCATATACCAGGCCGGTCTTCACAAAGCCATGTGCAATACTACTCACACGTCGTGTCACTAGAAGTAACAGTCCCTGAACTTGTATCATCAAGTTTTGCGTGCCACAATCCGTAGGCGGCACGCGACAAGTATGGCGCCGAGTTGGACGAGGTGTTCTTCGCCAACAGTGACCGCGTCTTCGGCGGCTCGCGTCGAGGATTCGAACGGGCAGCGACGATGATGTCCAGGATTGAGAGTGATTACTTCCGCAAGACGTTGACCACGTACTATCCGTTAGATTGGGACTTGGTGCTGCGTTCAGATTGGAATGGTCAGTTGCACTGGCCGGGTATTGTGTTCCCGCGCGATGTGTTTGATCCTCAGTGCCTTAGCTGAACAGGCCTGCAGCATGTTGGCAGGTTGGTGCAGGTCCAGGCAGGTTCTGATAGCACAGAGTCGGGTTGGGGTGGTTTGAATTAGGCTCATGCGGACAATGAGGCAGTGCTTCTGGCATTGTATTGCTTCAGTACAAGGCGTTGGTTACTGAACAACCACGGGAATCTTAACCTATTGTAGACATGCAGGTTAAGGATTTGGATTCAGCATTCCCCTCCAAGTCTAATTTGCATCAGCCGCTTGCATGTTGAGCAAGCCCTAAAACCCTGAACCCTGCATGTAGTGGGCTGCCGTGCTCGCCATGTTCTCCTTGGTTGCGAGGTTGGGCACCGTCAAGGCATCCTGCCCTGAACGACAACCTCCCCCGCTAGATCTGGTTAATGGGCGGTTTAGGGTTTAGGGTTTAGGGTTTAGGGTTTCCGCGGCATCTCGATTAAGTCTCTGCGCCTACGGTGCACACGTCTTGCGTTGAAGGCTGCAAGCCATAAGCGGTCCAAGTGGTCAAGCCCCTGGAGAATAAATCCTTCGGCTTCAAGCAAAAACTGCAATAGCTCTCCCAGCAGCTGTTGTTGGGAGATATTGTTGATGTAACACTCAAACAGTTTAGAAGCTCTAAATAAAATTCCCTATGGAACACCGTCAAACATGCAACCTTGGGGTATGCCCGCCCTCGCTGGTAGCAGCCGTATGACGAGATCCTCGTGAAGTGCTGCACTCCTTTCTCTAAGCATTTTCATCCGAAGCCCGAAATGCCTAGCCCTATTGTCAGGGCAATCACCACACCCTTACTCCACAAGGGATAGAAGATGCATTTTGTAACCCAGAAGCAGACCCACAAGCCTCGCAAGAGTGCACACTCCTCATGTTATGATCTCTACAGACTTGATGGTCCTTCCTCGCTGAGGCATTGCTGCAGTCAGCAGGATCTGCAGAAGAAGCTGGCGCAATTGAAAGAGTTTGACAAGAATGGCACGCGCGTGGATGGCAAAGTGTGCAACTTGAAGGGGCAGTGTTCAAAGGGGCGGAATGGTACCCACGAGGGGCTCAGCTCTTACAGGTTCGCTCCGGACAAAATGCCGTTCCATTCTGAGGTATCTTTCCTCCTTGACATGCTGCGAGGTGGAATCGAGATGCATGAACTTGCCGGGTTATCCGAGAGCCTGACTCGTGCTGAGCGCAATCGCGCAGGTTTGCACCCAGGCCGAAGCCCATCCGGACACAAAGTTGCATGCATCTCTGGCGATAATGGAAATGACTCGTGTTTTCTCTTCTCTATAACCCTAATTAGCGAATATTTCTTTGAAATACATCAAAATGCTCAGTTTAGGTATAATTTCTGGCCAAATTCGAGGCAGCGACCGCAAAACTTTCGACGACAAAGCCAAGGCTCAAATGAAGGCGGTCACAGCAGGCACAGATCTCTTTGTATGTGCTGACCAAGAGGACAAACTCCCCGAGCCCTGAGCCTGAACCCTGCGTGACCCTAGACTCGCCGGCCCATCTAGCCCTCTACCTTGATTGTGACCCATTTAATCGATTTCAGTAGCGTACAATGGGTATAGTTTCAATTTCAATTGCTAGTATAGGTAGCGTCTAGTTCCCCGAAATTCCTGGTCCTGGAGACTCTAATATAATACTATTATATAACGTCGCGTAGCCGTGTATAGACCCTCCGAACCCTAAATTCTTTGTAGAAACGGCCCTGGCCAAAGCATGATCTGCATAGGGGTCGATAGGAACTGTGGTAACTATCCAAAGCAAGTGACAATAGAAACACATGTTACATGGGACTTTCTAACTTCCTACAGGGGGAGCAAGAAGCAATCCTGGGCCCACGTAAGCTGATCAAGAGGACCGCATTGAGGAGCATTTTCGGAACTTTACCAACCTCGTGCGATACAGGACGCACACATGGATTTGGGATTTAAGTCATGCTAGAGGGGGATAGCAATCGCGAGTGTACAGGTGTGTTGGTTTCAACGCTGTCACGAGATCCTGTACCCCCGGCTTAGTGGAATTCAGGACGGCGGAGGATGACGGTGGGTACAAGGCAGCTTGTCTAAGCAAGGATCCCCAGAGCAAGGTGTCGTTTCGAGTTTGAGGGATAATCGAACAGGGTTTTGGGATCCGGCATTATACTATCATTATCGAGAGACTATAATTGGGATCATACTGTTGAAGATTTAGGCCTCTTCAGTACAGCTTAGGCTGTAGGGTTGAGGGTCTTGATTTTAGGGTGTAGGGAATGCGGGAGTGTCCTAAGTATCCCAGGCCCAAAACAGACCCCAATGTGGTATAGTCCCTATGATAAAGACCCTCAAAAGGGACCCACATGTGAGTTTAGTAATTTGTGATGTTTAAGGGTGGAGCGCAGTTCAGGGTTTTGGGTTTAGTGATGTTTGGTGGCCCCGGTACCAGGCAGATTTGAAGAACATCGATCAGCCTCTGCGATATCATGAGCCAGGCACCCCGCCCGGCCAGAAGTCAATACAGTGGTGGCGCTTGCAGCAGTGTTGGAGGCTAGTGCAGCAGTACGAGAAGCGCTTTGACTTCAGGTACCTGTGAAGACCTTGATCATATTGCTTTGTTGGCATGTTCGCTACTTAACAGCCCAATACCTACCGCACCGCACAATTCACATCGGGGTTCAGAGTTTAGTGCAAGGTACAACTTTTATTACAAAACGCGGACCGATTGTGACATGCGTGGGGGGTGCTACCCGTGCCTGGGCGCGTACGAGGCGGGTCTGCCAGCAATAAACAGAGTTCTTTAAAATTCAGACCCCCACTTGGTGCTTCAAATCACATGAGTGCCTGAAGCCGCATTTGTTTACATCCTGCGGAATTCCCGTTCAAATGGGTTGGGAATATCCAGGGGTTTTGTGGTGAAACTGCTAAGATCTAAGAATTTTTGTGGGCTTTTCGTGGGAGGTGTGTGGGATTGGTGTGGGGTTTTGTGGGAAGGAGCCGCATGCCCAGAAAGTGGGATCTTAGTGAGGAGTGTGTGGGACTGGAGAAAGTCGGAGTTAAGTGGGATTTTGGGGGGCAGGGGGGGGTGGGGGGGGTTGGCTTGGAAGCCAAAACTTCAGTCAGCCGCCAGGCGGCCACCAGGATGTATGGCGCCCGGTTGGACAAGGTCTTCTTTGCCAACAGCGACCGTGTCTTTGGCGGTTCGCGTCGAGGATTCGAACGGGCAGCGACGATGATGTCCAGGATTGAGAGTGATTACTTCCGCAAGACGTTGACCACGTACTATCCGTTAGATTGGGACTTGGTGCTGCGTTCAGAATGGCATGGCAAGCTGCACTGGTGGGGCATCGTGTTCCCGCGCGATGTGTTTGATCCTCAGTGCCTTGCCTGAACCGCCACTTGTGAAGTAGTATAGGGAAGGAGATCGCCTTTAAACAGTTTCAGGGAGGCCGGTGCGTCCGTTGTAATGCCGTAGCCGCTTTCGTGCGAGGTTGACAAATCGGCATTCTAGCTCCACAGATCTTGTCAAAGATGCATGAAGTCCTCAGAGTGGTCTCTGCGGCGTGGGGGGTATCCTCAAAGTTATGGGTCAATGTTTCGGGAATCCCGATGCCACGGCTGCTAGGGTTATACTATATTGGGGTCTATACACTTCTTCATGTTTCTGGGACCACCTGTTCAGTTTCCTTGTCATGGAAGGGAGTGCGCGTTAGCCTTCTGCAAGCTCAATTTCGCCACGGGAGGTTTTAGCCGGGTTGTCCTTCAGAAAAGGTGATGGTTTTGAATATTGCCGCGTTGTCTCCCTTGTTTGGATGTTGATTGAACCGCAAGCCCCACTGATTCATTCTAGTTCGTCCCTTGCTGAGGCATTGCTGCGACTACAAACATATCAAGGAAAATCTGGCACGGCTGAAAGAGTTTGACAAGAAGGGTACGCGCGTGGATGGCAAAGTGTGCAACTTGAAGGGAGTCTGCTCGAAGGGTCCCAACGGGACACATGAGGGTCTCAATTCTTACTGGTATGACCCTGGCAGCATGCAGTTTGCTTCCGAAACGTCATTCCTCCTTGACATGCTGCGAGGTGGCTTCGAGATGCATGGTGTTTATTCTTTAGGTCTCAGACCAATCGAATTTGCGGCAAGCGGTGCGCCAAAGTGGGGCCTGTGTGCCACACATAGATGAGCAACAGGACACTATAGACTATAGGCATATCGAATACCGAATTGTTCCCACATCAACTTTGTATTCAAATCCCAAGCCCTAAAACCCTGATCCAGTCAAAAAAAAGGCCAAAGCTCTTATTGAATGGAATGAACCTTTTTTCAAAGGTGTCTGCAAGACTCCTTCAGTCAGTGCCACTGAGACCTTGACGTGTCAAGAGACCTTGCATAGCCTCCGAGAGGCCGGAATGCTTCTCAACCAACCTCACACATGCACAAAACCCGGCTGGAAAGGACGACCCAAAACCCCCTTAAACCCACACTGCCTTGGGGCATCTTGGCGGTCTTTCGCCTTAAAAGCAGGCGTGGCAATGCGTGCAACCGCCCTGAGCGTGAGCGTCGCCGTGCGCAGTGGCACGACCCCGATCCTACTACTGGACCCTACAGAGGCCCCCGCATTTTTCCGGATGTGCGATCTGGGGATTTCGGAGAATTCGGGGAGGGGGGGGGGGGGAATTCTTCAGGACCCGATGTTGTCTACTAAGTTCGGTGTTTTGCGTCCTTTGTTTTTCGAAGCTCCATTTCAGGTTCAGAATCGAGTTAGTTCCTGGTTTCGGGCGGATGTTTGGGTAAAGCTGAGCGCCAGCTCTTTGCAGCTTGGGCACGCGGACTTGCAGGAGTGTTCGCCTTAGAGTCATTCTGCGGGCCAAACTCAAAAAGGTTTAAGGTGTAGGGAGCTGTCGCGACGATGCTGTTGAGCAGGAACTTTGATGAATGAAGGACTCGTCTTTGGGCCTTTGCCACGGCCATGACGGCACTCGGGACATTCCCCGTACCTACAGCAAACACGGCCTGGAGCAGACACCCTGAATTCGATATGTCGAGGTGGAGGAGACCGGCTGTGATGCTTTGATCACCGTGGCCGTTGATGGCAGTCAGGGCCTTTGAAGGAGGGGCTGACTACACACTCTCGTCTACGTATGGCACCAGCCCTTCCTATATGTGTTGCATGTGTATACATATATATATATATATACATATGTACGCATATGTTTGGTTTATACTATTGTCGCGTCGCGTTTCGTCGCGTTGGCCTGTTTAATCTATCACTGCATGCCGTGACTGAAGGGCCCAGAGGGTTCAAGGCCATGGTTTCGGGCTGAAGGTTCTAGGTGTCTTGGAATAGAGAGCCGGCGTAGCCCTACGTTTAGGGTTCAGGTGGACCTCTTTGGCCCAACAAGCTCTGCAGAAGACCCTGCTGCGCGGACGAGTGCCGTCCTACAGGCTCCATCTAAGCCCTAAGCGTACGTTGCGCCATGAGAACAGTATGAGCCGGCCGGTTGAAAGAAACTTCGAACCGCCTCACCTGAAATCTCCCCAAGGCCGTGGGCAAATGGTCTCCTGCATTTCAGGCGCGAGCACGGGGGATTGTTTGGAAGAGCCTATGTATCTGGTACCGTAGTTGAAACTGTACTTCATACATATACACACATATTAAGCCATGTTCAAATTATAATGGCCCCCCCATCTTAGGATTGTAGGTGTAGCTTAGATTCAGGAAACAGAGTTCTGAGATGGGGCTACCGCAGACAGGTTGCCCTCAAACCCGAAACCCCAAACCGTACGACCCTGAATCCTCTGTAGCCTAAAAACCCTATAATATCATGACCGAACAATTTCCCGAAACTATAAACCCTGAGCAGACATCCTAAGAACCAAAACCACCACAACCTCGCTAAAAGAAGACAAGACTTAGTAGTCGAGTAGGTAACCGTTAAGGTTTGCAGCAAGACCCTACCGCAAACCTATAGGCCTTACCGCTAACCCCTCATCCCGAAACGTCTACACCCGCAAGCCTGAGGCCTAATATAGGCCCCAAAGTTAAAGCCTAAAAATACCATACGTCCGCAACCCGAGCCCTATCAAGGCGGAATTCCACTCGATGCCCCCACGTGGGCGCTGTCCTCTGGGAGTTTGGTTCGGGGTTTGGTGGATCTTGTGGTTCTCTACGGGCTACTTAAGGGTTACTATGAAGGATGAGGTCAGGGTTCAGTACATACAGTAGAAGGTCCATAAGGGTTGTCCAAAAGCTCGTTGAGTGCGTTTGGTTTTGGAGTGGCTTTTAGGATTTTAGCTCGCCATGGTGCTGATGGTTTGTTTCATTTGTTTGTCCGGGTCAGAAGTGTTTCCGAGTTCCGCGTAGGCCCTGTTTAAAAAAGACTGAAAAACCCTTCGCAGACCCAAACCTCGTAGTAGAGTAACCTTAAACTATTTTGGGGTATATACTATAAACCCTATATATATATATAAATATATATATATATATAAACCCCGAGGTTAACCTACGATATAGACAAGTATAGTATGGTATAGTACAGTATATTATAGCCTAGTCTAGTCTGGTCTAGTCTAGTCGAGTATAGCATAGTACAGAAAAAACATAATACACAGTACTGATGGCAGTTGTCACATCCTTCAGAGTTATCTACTGGACTTGCCCTCTGGCCCATGTGCCCATGGTATCTGACGGTATATGCCTTGGCCTATTAAATTCCTGTACAGGTACTCAACATTCAACAAAGTACTATAAAAGGTACAGGGATTCGTTTGGTTCCAGCACCGTTTGTGAGAAACCGTTCTCAGTGTAGTCATTGCAGCTCACTAGCCAGTTTTGCGTTTTCGCTTGACAGTGGGCAGGGAGCCCTAAACGCCCCATACATCCCCAACAAAAAATCCTGAGCCCTACACCCGAAGTTACCTCCTCGGACTTTGTTACGTGCTGCCAAGGCGAGCTGCCTAGAAGCTGCCACGAAGTCGTGCAAAGTTCTCGAGGCCAAGCAGGTTTGGCTCATAACGGCCTACTACAGGCTTTCGAGCGCTTCAGGGCTGGGTGCGCGGGTTTGGGATAGCAGTGGCTGTAGGTAAGTATTTCGGGGTGTATATTTATTCTTGGGTACTTTACGGGGTGTATACTTATCTATTATTGGGTACTTGATAAACCTTCGGGCGGGGGCTGGGTTTCAGTTGCATGGTGTCGTGTGGTAGGGCCCCAGTATGTTCTCTATATTACAGATATACTAGACAAACGTAGGGCTTAGTATACGGTGTACTGTTTTGGGGTTGGTACGATGTCACACGGTTGGGGGTTTAGTATGCGATTTGGGTTTCCGGGCTTTGTATTAGGGTTTCGGGCTGTACGCTTCGACATGGGTTTCAGCATTGTTTAAAGGAGCTAGCATAGTGCAAGGTGAAATTACCGAAGGAGCCCATTGAGGCTTTGACGTGTTCGGCGTATCGTGTGCACTAGGGCAGGGTTAGACTCTGCGTTGTAGTGCCTTTTTTGGAGTCGCTAGCTGTGGTTGCCATTATTCAATGGAAAGTAAGCAAAAACTGAAACTGAGGTACACTTCAGGGTCGGGGTAGAGTTAGGGTCGGAGGTTGTTGTCACTATTGAATCATGTCTTATGCACCTTCACCGTAATCATCAGAGCCGCCTGCCGCAGCCGACATCGTCACTACCGCCATGCTTGTCCAGGCGCCCTCAGCAGCACAGGCTTTTTTACACAGAATCTGTATGCAGGATAGTTGCTGTGACCGGCTTGCTTGTTCATGGTCTCGCGGGCACCGCAGCCATTGCCTGCACTTTAAGCACCAAATTAGCCGTAACAACGTACGGCTCAAATCCTCAATGTTGAAACATAGCTAACCCAGGTGTAGTAGATACAGCCTATAAGCCCTATAAACCCTAAACCCTAAACCCAGGCGTAGTAGATACAGCCTATAAGCCCTATAAACCCTAAACCCTAAACCCAGGTGTAGTAGATACAGCTCGTACTTGTGAGGCAGCGCGCTTCAAAGACTGAGCAGAGGTTTTGTAAAGGAGAGAACAACGAAGTGAGTCATCAAACATCTCCCAAGCCTAAAAATCCGCGATCCTAAGTTAAACTTTGAAGCCCGAGACTCGGAAACCCAAAATGTAGTCTTAGCCTAGGTCTCGACACATTCAAGACGGCCACCCTAAACCGTAAATCCTAAACCCCAAGCCCCAAAACCTAAACCGCCAGCGCCTGCGGAGTGGTAAAGAGGGGCGTAGTCAGTTTTTTGTTTAAGCCTTAAACCCTAAACCATAACCCTAAAACATCCTTAAACCCTATGACAAGCTTTAAACTCTATAACAAGACCTTAAACCCTATAAGCTTTCTGCAGGCCTTCATCCGCATGAGCCTGCAGAAGCGGCTTGAGACCTTCCTAAAACCTGGCTGAGCACCTGAAGCCTCGTACTGTAGTTAGGTTACATAGGGCTTGGGGTTGACGGTACAGCTATTAGGGCACAGGGTTTGGGGTTTAGGGATTTTTGGAGGCTTCGGCGTCCCGTTTTACTTCGGAGATTGAGGGTGCAGTTTGAGATTTAAGCTTCGGAATTTATTTTGGAGGTCTCGATTTAAGGGTTCGCTTTGGAGGCCGTTTAGGCTTAAGGCTTCAGGGTGTAGACTTAAGGTTCAGGCTTTGCGGTAGGTTTGTTTCTTGGACGGCAGAGGAAAACTCAAGTTTACAAAGGTCTTTGGACTCTGTACAGGTTCTCTATTATTCATTCAGGCCTGCACAGGGTATTCTATCCGCGTTCTGTAAGGGTTCAATATGTAGGGGTTCGAAGGGGTTCCGAAATGGTTCTGTCAGGGTTGGTTCTACGGGTTCTATTTTGGGTTTTCTATGAGTTCTACGAGAACGGTTTACCATACTGGAGTTTCAGAAAATGAGCGACTCCAATATCGATCCACATAATAGAATGTCTCGTCCAAGAACACCCCCTAACCTCTAGTTAACACTCAGAAACCAGCGCAATCCCCCGAATGGTCTCTGGAGATGTATCGCAAGCACGACGGCTGCCGGGATCTCGCGCAGAAAGAGCCTTTCACATCCCTGTTTGGCATACATAGTGGTACGTATGGCCTTGCTTAAATAGGTATGTGTGTAGTGTACCCTGCCTGTGTTCGTCTCTGTCAAAGTAAATCGTTCTAGTCATAGCAGGGGATCCGACACGAGAAGCAGAGGAACTGTTACACTACAACTTCGCTCCGGACACAACCTGAGCCCATAGGATTTTCTCCCAGTATCGGACCACTGGACCATTCTCTGCAATGCTGGGTTCATCCATCCGCCCTTCGTTTGTCAGTTGTATGATTTATAGGATCCTTAAGGGAGGGTGGTTCGAGGGGGGAGGGAGGGAACAAGGGCCTTAGGGAACCTTAGGGAGCACTTGGGAGAATTAGGGACTACTATAGGTCCTGTACCCCCTTGGGTGCCTTGCACCGCTTCTCTTAAGGATACTATAATTTGTGCTCTCAGAACCTCGAGATACTGCTCAAGCTTTAAAGAGCCTCGAAAGGGGGTTCCAGATTTAATGATTTAACGGTCTTCGTAAGTGGATGCCAACCTTGTGGATCTATACTGGGGTCTCTTGCTTTCTGATGCTTCCGGCCTTCCTACATACTTGTCACTTGGTGCTTTCCGTATGATAGCAGGTCTGTGTCGACATGGGTGGTCTCTTGCTTACGAGCATTTGCATAGTGCTTGGTGCTCATCATTTTGGAGTCTATGGGGGCAACACAAGGGATTCCCAACGAGTACTTCAACAAGTCACTCGTTCTGTCTATTACGCTGTGCACAAGCCGCCGAAGGTTCCGACGCCGAAGGCCGCAGCTCAAGTCTGCGAATCCTAAACTTCCTAAACCCTATACAAGCCCTTAAAGCATCGAGGATCTCTTCTGGGGCTCTGCCTTGATCGCTGTGGTCGTTTTCGGATAATTTTCGGTTTGGGGTGGCGGGTTGAGGGATAAGGGACACTAAGGGTTTCGAGTTTGGGGTTGATAGTTTGGAATGACTTCGGATATCCGGGCAGGTAGGTTCGAGGTAGCCGTAAGCCGTAGTTTGTCGCGCACGGACGTTTGATTTCAATCGGCCTTTGTCGTTCTCGTCGGCTTGATAATGCAGACGTAAAATGCGCACCATGTTCTATGGTTGTACGGCTCAAACAGGCTGCAAGAGAGATGCTAGGCATCATCAGGCTTACGTACATGGTAATCGTCGTGCAGCAGAATAAAGTCCCGATTTCCCAATTCCTATATCAGTTTCTTCACAGCAGGATTACATCTGTTAGCTGCATCCGGGCTACTTTCATCCGAGACCCCAATCCACTCCCCACCATCCCCCTCACCATCCAAAAAACATTTCCCCCTCTTCTTTGTCTCCAGAGCCTTACGATTGTAATCCGTCAGTTCCAAGCCGCAAACCCCATACAATCATTCTAGGGTCGGATCCCTAAAGCGCGTCCTGGATCCTGGCACCCACGTCAGCACGCCGGTGAGTCAGTGATCGGGAGGGATGCCTCGCGGACTGTATTCGCCGCGATCCTTGGAGGCCTGTCTTTTTGCAAATTAGGCCATAAACTGCCTCTATGGGGCCTAAGTATACCGTGCCGGTGGTGATCGTGCCATACCGGGGCTGAGAGTTTGATGTGAAGCGCTCCATCATTGGACGCTTGACGGAAGGCCAAAGATTCCGCGGAACGGTCTGTTAGGGTAGTTTTACTGCCTATATATGTTCTGATTATCTATGGATAAGGTACACCACCTATACTACACAGTCTGAGGCTCATGCAGTTTGAGTTTATGGTTGGACCGTAGGGTTTTGGAGGGCTTGATCAACAACCAAAAGTCCTGTTTCGGCGATAGGTTCTTGGGTTGCACACGGATGTCTGAGGTGTCTGCGTTCAGAGTTCAACCGCGGCTTATGAGTGAAGCCACACGGGTTTCAGCTTGCTGAGACCATCGCAGTTGTAGTGACTACACAAACTCCCCCTCAGGGGCGCAGTGCAGCTCTCACTTTCAAGGTTCGAATGCTTGCTTACCAGCACTTGATCCATAGCCTTCAACCCCAAACCCTGAACCCTGAAATGCTCTGAAACCTACGAGATCTTGGCGTGAGCCTGGCATGTCAGGCAAGACTCGCAGCCGCTGCGGTGCTGACAATCTCTGGCCTCGCACTGTGCACACCCCAGCTGTGCTTCCTAGTGCTTAAAGCAAAGCTCAAGTATGCTCCAAATTCTGCAGGTGTACTTGGCGAGGCCCCACCACTCCAGCATGAAAACGTTGCGAAGTATTGCATACAGGAGACGTCGCCAGACGAGGAGCGAATTGTCCACTACACCGGAGTCTGCGCAGCCATCTGCCCCAAGACACCATGGAAGCCTACACCCAAGACCGTAAAAAATCAAACCCCAAGCCTTCCACCATGAAGGTCAAGCCCCAGACCTTAGACCCTTAAGCCTTAATCGGACGTAGAAGCCAAACAAGCTTGTGACGATTGCCCGACCACCAAATCTAAAAGGTTGGCTACAACTCAGTCTGGCTTCTCCTTGTTTTCTCGAAGCATCCTTGCACCCTACCTGACATTTTCCGTTCTTTGACTCTCAAGGAACAAGCACACGCATCAATGCGCATATACATACATACATACATAC